ATACATTATTATAGACACCTCTATTAATCTAATAGCAACCGCCTGCGGTTGAATATTTTATTTCGCCGATGGTTGACGGAAAATGTGCAATTTTGTGGGATCGGCGTACTGCGTGTGCATGTTTTACAAATTTGATCCATCGTTTCAAAGTAAAACTCAAATGACTCGAAATAAAGAGCAGAAATGGGTCGCCTACATGCACGAATGGTTACACAGTAATTAAATTAATGGGTAGCCGTTAGCAATGCCATTGGCAGGTCATTGAAAGTACACTCGTTATAGCCATACCATGCGACCATAGACGAAACAGTACAATATTCAGGATACGCCTTTTCGTTATTGTATTTTATCGTTTCAATTTTTTCCTTTCATCATTTCGAAAAAAAAAGAAAGTCACGTCATATGTCCGAATGTGAATATCAACATCCGAAAATCGTCGAAATATATTGAAATATTGAATATCGTCCCATTTGTATCATATTATTGGAATTACAAGGAAACTGTCGAAATTATTCCTCCATCAATTTTGATGAGCTTTAGATATATTGATGTATAGAGCACCAAAAAATATAAGACTCATATTATTTATCAAGTTTATGAATAATCTTTCGAAAATTTTTTCAGCGAATAGCTTCGAAACTATAAGACATATGAAAAAATGTTTATATCAAAGCATTTTATACTTCTAATAATATATAAAGTATAAAAATGGTATTTATTTTTTTAATGTCAAATTTTTTAATTTAATCCTATTCTCAAGTATTGTTTCGATCCGTAATTTCGAACCTTAAGCAGACAAAAAATATGGATTAAATATTTTTTGATAATATAATATATACATATTCAAAATTGGTGAACGATAATTCTAACGATTCTCTTAAAAAGACAAGGAAAAAAACAACTGACACTATGTAGAAAACACAGCAAAATATTTTATTGAAAATTATTTTCATATTTTATACATTATATTTCATGTCATATTTTACATAGCATTATAAAAAGTCATCGATACAATAGTCTTATCATTTCTATAATTTCGATGCTCGTCACGTTAACGCGACAAAGCAAACATAATCGACGCATATCGCATTTGTCGACTGTTCGCACGTGTGGCGATAAATTTTCGTGCAGCGCGTGTTCTAGGAAGTACTTTCCGGGGCACGTTTAACAAGGGTGCAAGCGAATTGTGGTAGGCCCGATAACAGGCAAGCATGGGATACGTTAAGTTTCAAAACAAGTACGATCATAAAAGTTTACCAACTTTGAGCCGGTTTCGACACGGTTGGCAATGGTGGCGGCGAAACCGGCATTAAATATGAATCATAAAAGAAGCATAAAGATAATTGTATGCTAATAGGGTAAGCGTATGCACCGTGTCGTCCACAATGGCTCAGCGTCTTCCGTTATTACCTATGTATCTGCTTTACAATGAATACCTATGTGCTCGCATAGTCGCGACGCGATACAACGTCGATGTTAACCAATTTCGTGCGATTAACTTTGCCGCAATTATCTACCATGGATTGTGCCCGGGAAATACATATACTACTTAAATTAAAGATCACTCGTTCATTCTTCGTGGTCGCCGTTCGCCAATGCTCGTCACGTTTAGCACATTATTTGTGATCGCATCGCCGTTATCCTCGTACTTTTGCGGTGAGAAGACTTGAACGCTCGAAACGTAAAATAAGGAATACAATTTTAAGTGTTTCATGGAATCACTCTTTTACTGGCACCTAAAATCGTTTGATTATTGCGTATGTTTAAATTTCGTTTTCCTGTGGCAGCGCCTTAAACTTTTTGTTACAAATACGTGAATGTCGAAATGAAGTCTAACTAAAATTATTTCTTGATATTAAAAAGTGTATAATCTTGTTAGATATTCGAAGGTTTCCCCTTTTCTTTTCTTTTCTTTTCTCCCGTTCACAGTATGTATTTCTCTTTGAATTTTTGATAGGGAACAGACAGCGAGGAACTAATATACAGAGGCAATTTTTACGATGTAATATCGCAGACGTTCTGTACGTCATAATAATGCTTCGCCTTGCCTGTAATACTTTAGAGAAGCATGGCACGATCTCTTTGAAGCTCACAAAACTTTAAATCTTTAAACAGTGTACGCGAACTCATTAAAAGTTCTTTCTCAGAAAGGATAAAACGGGATGTATTGACGAAGTTGGTTTAGAAATACAATGAGTTTGCGAACATCGGGTGCTGGTTTGCGGCCAATTCTTTTTATCTACTGATGTAAGTAAAATAAGAGCTTGACAGGCATTGCAGGAAGATGATCCGCAAAAAAAAGAAAAATTTTTCATGTCAAGATGATGTTCTTTTCTCAAGTTCATCTAAAAAATATCACGGTTGCGTATATTTAAGAAAACGGTATTTTAATAGAGAATGCGTTTGGCATTTATCCAAAATTTTCCATTAGTAAAATGCAATCTTTCCGTTGCAAGGAACTTTGCGAATTAAATATCACAACGCGTGTTATTTGCTGCACGTGGAGTAAACTTTTTCCCTTCATCGACCCTAATTCTACAAACGGAAACGGTCGAGGCAACGGAAGTGAGTCTTTGGAACTTTTAAAAATATCTGATAAAAAGAAAAAAGATAGTCGTTAGAACTTTTCAGGACGTACTTGACCGATCTGGTGTATGGACTCGCGGGCTGATCGAATTTATTATTTGGAACCAAATCGACGCCACGCTTTTGCGACGCCGATGAGTGCAGCGGAGCAAAGCGAGAAAAATAAGACGAGCGCCGAGACTGCAGCGGATAGCTTTTCATGAGGTCGTGAATCGGCAACGATGAGGAGGATCTCCTTGACCGCTTGCTAGCTCTCATAGAGTAGATCGTCTCCGAGAGCTTTTACGGGTTTTGACGAAAGCGCACCGTCACGATGTGTAAACCATGAGAGACCATTCGACGATTCTACGAATCTCACTCTCTCCCGGGAAAGATGGAATTGAAGGGGACGAGGATGGGATTCGACTGAAAGGCGAATCCTTTTTACGAGCTCGGATACATACGCCCGAAGGTCGAAAGGAACGAAAGCTACTCGGTGCGCTGGTCCCGAGATCTTTTGCGCGCCTCGCTGCAGTCTCATTGCGGAGTCACGAGAATCCGAGGCAAGCAGCGAAACGCTTTCCGATTTTTCCGAAAACCGCACACCAGAGTGACTTTTACCCCTTTCGAGTATTGCCACTTCCCTCGTATCGTCTCTAATGTAAAGCATTGTAATCTAAATATGGATAAGGCAAGACGCACGCGGGCTTTATTCGCGATACCAAGATAAATATGTAATACATGTATGTACCCAGATTGCGTACATATACGTATCGGTGTCTGGAATCGTCGATGATATATCGAAATTCGAATCAAATTTGTAAACGTAAAACATATGGGACGAAGAGAGCCCATTTTCTCTTTTCTCAATTTCTATCCTTTCTATCCTGTTAACTATTCTGTTTTAATTTGTGAAAGTTTGCCATTAATATCAGAACAATTAAATATAATTTGATGAATAGAATCAAAATATTCAGTTCGAACAATCATTGTATAATCTTAACTCAATAACTTTTCCATAGCAGCACGTGGAAGACCTTGATATGTCGGTCAAGGTGACCCACCGATACTCTACGCGAAATATTCCAATGTCATTCTCTCTTCTCCGGACATTCGCCCGCCCTATCTTTCGAGGGCACTCACGCTGAGCCATAGAGTACTTCCACGTGTGTAGCACACAATACACGCGCGAGAAATCGATTCGCCATTAGAAGATTCGAATTCGACATTCCAGACAATTTCTGAGTGAACGAATTGAAGTTTCGATCGAGTCATTGTTGCTTTCGATTGTCGAAGAGTGATTTCCATCGAACTCCACATCCTTTAGTCGATCGAGTCACCAGGTAGACCGCAAGTGTCATCACAATCAGAGGTGAGGAGGTCAAAGTAGGACGGACTTTGACGCGCGGCTCGTTTGATGGTGGTATGTAAGAGATAATTGATGACGTTATGGTTCATTGCTGACCTCACTGTTACCCGACGCAGACAAATATTGACAGCTTCCGATCACAAAGCGGTGGACAGTATCCTTTGTACGCGTCCCACGCACCACTGCTTGATGTCTGCTCGGTTTTCCTATCGAACCGCTGAGCTCGTGGGTAAATCAACGTCCGCGTTCGACGTGCATGTCGACTTTCCTAAATTAAAGCGTCCCGGCCCGTTCGCATGGGCCGTACGTAAATTCCATCCCTTTTTCTCCCTTTTCATTTGACTTTTTGATACAAAAAGTACCTCTTTCAGTGCTTCTTTTATAGCCGAGCACTTTCATACCTCAATTGGGATTTGAAAACAATCAGTAGATTTAGACAGATCGCATCAAAAAAGATAAAATATCCACGCGAAAAAAATTTGGTGAGATCAGTAAAAACTAACACGAGAAAAAAAATCGACGTGATTTGTAAACGTTCCATATACAAAGTGCCGACAAAGGGAAAACCACGAAATTAATTAGTCGCGACAACGATACAATTCTCGAATGCGGATACGCGTCAAAGGGATCGTGCAATGATTCCGGAACGCGATGTAAGTTGCTTCCTCACCGCGATCAAAGAGCTTTGACTGAGGAGGAATGAGAGTCCGGTGAACATAGTTCCGAGGAACATAGTTTCGCGAAGGTCTGTGTCTGCATTGTTCGTCTTCGCCCAGTCAATGGGACTGTTCGTTTGTTGAGCTTGTAGTAAGTTTCCTATGATGTGATGAACTCGCATCATCGAGCAAAAATTTGATTTGCGATATGCAATAAATAAATAGCAGGCGATAAAGTATATAGAAGAAAGGGGGAAATAAATGAAAAAGAATTTATGAATGTTATACAGAAATTGTGTCTATAATAGTAATTAAAAAAATTTTCATACGATTAAATTAAATATAAATTACATACAATATTGACAGTTCGATAGATGTAATTAATTTCAATTTTAATTTTGTTTCTTAAACTGTGGTGAATATCTACATATTTTAAATTGGCTAAGTGTAAGTAAATTCATACGTACACACATTACGGATCAGTAATGTCTGCTGACAGATGTATGTACGGATCGAAACATTGGAATTATTGCCATTCAATCGCCATGCCAACCATTGTACTTGTTCGTTTTAATTAAATCTATGTATTTTCATATTTCTATCAGTCATTATCTCACCCATTCGTGGACAGATCCTTGCAAGTCTGGATCCAAGTGTACTGTTGCGGAGGCAATCGCCCTTCAAAGGGAACGTTCATGCCTGCAAACCGGTTAGTAACAAGTTTCGCAAAATTCAGTTAGGCGATCTACATGGCTCGCGGCGAATCATCTGCTCGTTTCTGACGAAGCCCGGGACGTTAATGTTCTTCTGATCCGCGTAATCGTTCGATCTAGAAGTTGCCGCTCCCTATCGACGCCGGCGCTCGTGTTGTGCTGATAGCGGCAGTTTAGAAGTTTCGCGACGGCGGCCGGGCCTTTCAGGCAAACTCCTTCATCTCGGATTCGAGCTTGTTGATCACCCATTGCAACCCTTGTCGACCCTTAAACAAAAATCAAATATTATTTGCATACGTGAAGAAGCACATGATTGCGAAGTGTCATTGCAGTGTCATTCATACATTTTTATGAAACGCGCGAGCGCATCAACATTTTATGAAAAATTTTTTTTGACAAATCTTCGACACTGTATTAAAAAAAAGTGTCAATAGCATGCATAGAAAAATTTCTCAGACAGAAATTTGCATATTTCTCAAGAGACAGTTTGCATTTCTCTGTTTATTCGATCGTAAAAAAACTTGCGTTTCCTAAACATTAGAACACGTCATGATTCGAAATTATAAATAAAAATAATTTTACAAATAATAATTCATAACAATATTCGATCTCGTTAAATTTTTAATAAATTCACTCTAAATTTCTTACAGTGTTACAAATCTCACTCCAAGAAAGTGAAAATATTTTACTTCTTGAAAATTGTCACTCTTTTTCAAGAAGTGAAATAAAAGTGAAATATTTTCACTTTCTTAGAATAAGATTTCGTTGCAAGAAATTTAGAGTGTTGCATATATGCAAGAGAGATTTCTTAACATTAAGAGATCACTTACTTTGCTCGCGTTAAAGGAGATTTTTGAAGCTAAGAGATCCTCCATGTAGTTAGTCAGTGGTACCCCTCGAACGGTGACTACCGCTTCTTGTGTGAGTAATGTCTTGGTGGGATCATCCGGATGGGGCGTATATCTGACAGCTTCGTCTACAGCGATATAATTACCGAAAGTTAACTGCAAAAAAAAAAACAAGAATAATTTATCTGATCAATGTGAATACCGTGGAACATTCTACACGTAATAGTCAAATAAAAAAATGACTGTATTTTCATTCGTTGAAACACAGAACTGATTCGCATCAAATATTGTATGTATTATAAAGGTAATATGGTTGTATAGATCTCCGACTTTGATAAGACGCGTGATTTGCGTTATCAAATCTATCATACTGTAAGAAATACATCGCTTAATACATATTCGCGCCGCAGTATACTCGTATCAGGAATTTCAGTCGTTTATATCGATCATCGTGTGCAACTTGGGAAGTTAGCAATCCTCGGAGTAGATGGACAGTTCGAATTATCGAGATGGAACGTCACGAAAGTGACGTAGACATCCTTGAATAATCAATGCCACTAAACAAACAAACGAATCGGCCATAGCTCCCATCACGGAGAAAAAAAAACATCCAACGCACGCTTCCACTTCCGTGCCTTCCATTACGCTATATTTTTCCCTCGCTTTTTTCCGTTCTATTTCGGATGCATTATTCGATATGAATATTTCTGAGCTACTTTTATGATTATTTTTTTTAAATCTCTCTTTTAAATGATTCGTATACGATATTTATACAGCGAGCATCCAAATGATTTTTCGATTGCTTATATATAAGTTTTAGTAAACAAGATTAACAAGATACCGAGAGATAGAATTATTTTTCTATTTTCTTCAACGTAGTTTTCTTCTATATCATAAATATCGTCCTATTTGATATTCAGAACTCATGAACATCGAAAACTCAAATATACTCTATTTGTACGAAGGCAGTATTGGCACAACATTTTGCGATATCGGGCTGCGGCGAAAACTAAACCGAGTTTGCGAAAGGACCACGACTATATAATGCAACCCCACGTCGAATGACCGTAATATTGTATACATATATTGCGATCTCACATCAATGCATCGTAATGCGGGCGTGTTAGGAACCGAACATATAGCTATGCAGATCCAATATATATGGTATGCTGCGACTAATCGAATACATAGAGAAACGTGGAGTATAACAAAACCGGGGAGTAGCACGCGTTGGAAGACCATCTCGAATTCATTACAGTGCGCCAGTGCGTAAACATGCGACGCGAAAGCGACAAACAGCACTCTGCGGAGCGATGTGCGGTGTGCTTTTGTTACAGCACGGCATACCGTCGGTACGAAGTACCGTTAGAGTGCAGAGTGCGTCGCGTTGTCATCGCGCGCGGATTTGTTTCCCGCCGCGAGAGAAACAATCACCCACGCTGCTTGCACGACGATGGGCGAGAGGCGGGAGGGGTTGGAAGAGCGCGAGAGGATTGAAAACTAGCGCGGCAACTGAGCGCCTCGAGCTAGTCACCCCGAGGCCTAAAGTTTAATCTGTGTCGCTGTCATAGAATTTGTACTAGCTGAAACGTATTTGCTGTTGGTATCATATAGCCTTCGCCACTGTAAATTTGCGGCTGGAAAATCGTGGTTTCGATCTCTTGTATCCACGGAGGCACTACATCTTTAGGCACTATTCAATTCGAAAATCATATAAATAACGAATCGTTATTTATCACTTTTGCTATGACAATCTAATCCCCTAAAGCCGCATCTTAGAGAGTACAGGGAAAGCTAAATGAAATATACACGAGCAAGTTGCGCGAATGAAAATTCATTTAGGAAATTTCTCCTTCGACATAGTTTTAATTAGTAAAGTTTGAATCAACATTCCTCTACTCCTCTTACTACAGGAAAATGAATATGTTCTGCATCAGATTAATAAAAATCAGGATATGTAAAAAAAATAATTATAATTTTTCGTCAGGATAAAAGTGGCTCTAAAGTGGGCCGTAAGGCCGATCTACGTGTGATCTCACAACATGTGAACAAGAGGTCAGTAGAGATGCACGTCATTATGAGCTTCGGACGAGCGCCATCGTGGCATAGCACGCCGTGGGGTGGAACAATTGAATCGCAGGGGCGCAATACGTTTCACGAGGAAATTAACGCCCGCGGCACATTGTGAGTCCGCGACTATTCCAGATATAGAATGGTGCGGTGTTGTACTCTATGGACTCTGCCATATTGGCAATCAGTGAAGCCGACTGTGTTACACCGGTCAACTCGCGGTCAACTCGCCGTCCAACTTCGCTTCGCGGCACGACGGTTTCCAAAGCCGATTCATGGACGTGAAGGAAAAAATGAAAAATTAACATTACGCCCGCGAGCTGCTGCGTTTCATGGAGTTCACGGTCGGCGAGTCAAGAACAAAGACGTCGATTAAATCCGAAGGAAATGAAATTCTCTAGTATATAAACGCTGCGCGTGCTACACCGCTACTATCCATGTGCCATATCATTGCAATAAAATTCACGGAATTATATCGACGACGGAAGTCGAGCCTGAATGTCGGTGTGAGCTTGAATTTCATAACGACCTTACACATTGCAATCTTATGATATAGAAAATTATTATTCACAGGAAATGTAGTAATACTCTAGTTACGATATATTAAGAGATCTTTCTCTATTTGTAATATATAATAAATGTAGAATATTAGATTACGTATTATGTATTACGATATATAAATATTGATACGTAAATATTGTACATTTAAAAAACATTAAAATGTACGAAGATACAATAAAACGTAGCAATTATCAACGGAAAATGAGAAGGATATTAAATTTCGCTATTTAGTAATATATTTCTTAAGAATTTCGAATATATTTGGAATATAACTACGTTATACTCCAGGTCATGGAACACGAAGAAAAGTGAGGCTCGTAGCAATTGAAGAGCTGTTACTAAAGTACACGACTGGTTATCTAAATAAGATATTGTTATTGTAGCTCTCGCGCCACAACGGCAAGCTCGCCAATACGAAATACTAGTATTGTTATTGCCAGTATTGTGCTGCGTCCTTAATTTTCTCTTATGAAAAGGACATTTCATTTGCGCGGGGTACGTTCTACTATATTTCCCTAATAACATTCAATTTAAATATTTCGCTATATATATTTCAATATAATTATTTCAATAACTTAAACGAAACTGTATTCCGAAAGCCACATTAATTAATCATCGCTCTCGCGAAAACAATATGCTTGTTATTCGTTAGTTACTGGAAATACTCCTTCAAGCATTTAAAACTGCAAAGATATCGTCTTGCTTTTTGGAAATTGTCTGATAAAATTCAATAGGACTTACTGCTGCACAGAGAATTTATGCACGAAAGAAGGATGAGCGTTTTAACGGTGAGAAAAAGATAAATGAAAAGAAGCGTAATTGGCGAGACGAGAGATTCCATTGTCATGTCTGTGACGAGATGTATACTCTTGTTGGAGTAAATTTTTTAACCGCGGCGCGAAAAACGCTTCGCTTAATACAAGATAGAATTACGGCAATCCGCAGCATTATATCAAAGAGCAGTCTCTCCTTCCTTCGGCTCCTGTTCCAATTCGGCCTTTTTCATGCGAACGGTAACTAACTACATGAAACAGAAATCGCTGTTGCTTTTGATTTTCGAAATGTCCCGGCGAGTGACGTATGTAAATAGCTTTTTGCACAGATTGAAAATTGTAAGCCTTTAAGCACGCATTTACATGCCATAGCTGCGAGAATTTTTTCACGAATATAAACGGATAATAAAGTAACGAATGATTGAAACACACGTTGCAAATATGTATGTTCTATTTGCCGATTCGTCATGCGTTTTTTTTTTACGCGGATTATCACTTTTCGTAAAAATCCCTGTGTCAGATGTTAATAGCGGTCGTGCTACACTGCGAACGCGAAATCCGACAATCGTGTTTAATCCCTAGCGGATCTCCACGGAACCGTGTTTCTCAGTGCTGATATAAATTCTTTACACGAATATTCAACGAAGTTTATTCACAGTTCGCGCAACGTCCTTTGCCTTTGAACAACAGTTAGAACTGTTGTTCACTCTCTCTCTCTCTCTCTCTCTCTCTCTCTCTCTCTCTCTCTCTCTCTCTCTCTCTCTC